AACTATTCAATAGATGGGAAGCCAGTGTCAGAATGAAGGGCACAGAGCTCAGGTCAGGGGGATCAAGGCCCAGTGTCCTAGGACTGCGGAGTCAGGGAGGGCTGACACCAGGGAATCAGTGACCCAAGATTCTGTCTTTACAAGGAATTATTCCCAAACTGGCTCTGCCTCCCCGCCCCCTCTGGCACTGAAGATCAACTCAGCACTATGCTAGGATCATCACAGTTTATCCAGGGGCCCCTGGGGCCTGGCCCTGGCCCTCCCTCCACATTCTGACATCCCGTGGTTTCCCTCCTCCATCACCGTGGTCAGAGCAGAGAGCAGATGCAGTGACGGTCAGGCTCCTCTGGGAGGAGGATTTAGGGAGTATGCACCTGTGCGCACCTCTAAGGTATGTGCACACTGAGACATTTGGAGGAGGATTGCACCTTTGGGGAGGAGGGTATGAGTGCACCCAGGGTGGCCATGTGGATGTGTACCTGTGGTGTGCATCGCAGTGGAAGCAGGCAGAGAGAACTGATGGAGGAGGGAGACAGACCAGCTCCCTCTCTTTTGTGTTGGGCAGAGGGATTGGGAAGTGAGGCACGGACAGCACTCTACCTTCTCTGAGCCCCAAACAAGGCACATGAGGTGTAAGAGCCTGCTTGAACAGCCGCCTTTTCCTGGGAGCTTCTGCATGGCTGACTAAGCAAGCGCCCCATCCTCTACCAGCACTCTTATGCCCAGCGGTCTGCTCAGATCACTGGGCTGAAGAGTCCTCATGTGACTTTGGGCAGGGGGCGATGGAGGCACAGGGCCCCTCTCTGCCTTCCAGGACCGTCCCGGAGAAGCTGAAAGTGGGGACCCGGCTCTGCTACTCTACTGCGAGGGGCTTTGGGGCAACCCGGGGCCGCATCAATGTTGGATGAGCCTGCACTGCGTGTGCGCGCCCGATAACATCTTCCCTGGTCTCACTGTTAGTGTAACTGGAGAGCCCAAGGACCCAGGCTGAGTCGGCGATTCACAGTCTTGTCACTGCGTTGCTACCATAGGGGAACAGGGGCTGGGGTGGGGAGGCTGGCGCAGGCCCCGGGGTGTGTCCTGGGTCAGGGTCGGGGCTGGGGCCCAGCCTCTCCGGGCGGGGGTCGGTTCCAGCCTGGCCTGTCCTCAGCCCCTGCCTCCTGGTGCCAAGTTACACCTCCTCCCCAATCGGGTCACCTCACCTTCCCCGGGGTGTCATCTGACTGGCGGCTTGTCCTTGGGGCAGTTCAGTCCCATCCCCCTACTTGCCTCTGGGGGTCCCCCTGGGGGAGGGGCTGGAGCTTTGGCTGGTTGGACAGAGCCCCCTGAGGGAAGGAGAGGGAGCAGCAGCCACCCTGACAGCAAAGAGCCTCCCACTGCCGGTGAGTGTCCCCATTCGAGTGCTGGGGGAAGGGCTGGGAGGGCAGCTGAGGTCCAGCCCAGAGGGGTCAAGCTTCTGGGCACTCTGACCTTTTCCACCCCAGCCCCTGGCCCTTAGGCTCCTGATACCATAAACCCCACTGCCCTACCCAAGCCGTGCCCTAAGGGCAGCAGTGAAGTGGTCTCCAGTCCCAAAGCACCTGGTATTTGTTGGCTGTGGTTGGGAGGAGGCTGTTACTGAGTGTGGCTTTGGTGGCCTGGTGTGGACAGCCTCTGGTGGGCAGTGTTTGTACTGATCAGTGAACCATGCATGGCTAGTGGGCTGGCAGCCTGTCTTTGTAAATAGTTCATTGGAACATAAGTACACCTACTCGTTTAAATGTTTTCTGTGGCTGCTTTCACTCTGACTCCGAGTTGAGGATATTCACGCCTGAAATATTTATTCTCTGGCCCTTTCAGGAAAGGTTTGTGGACCCTGTGAGCTGCTCCCCAGTGCTGCTCTGCCTGACCCTGCACCTGGGTCTGTTTCCTCCTTCCTCCTTGTGCATCCCACACACCTGAAAAACCCATGCTGGCTGCTCTCCACACCTGGGAACCTTACTTTAGGGTCCACTCATCTCATACCCAGTGACCACTCTTCTGTCTAGCAAGAGGACACAATGACTGGGGCAGCAAGCATTCCAGAACCTGACAGGGTAGCTGAGGGCTGAGGGAGGACCCTTGCCTGATCCCTTCCTAGGTGACGGTGAGCATAGCTTCTCTGGGACCCACACATCTATCCTGGTATTTGTGAAGCTAAGCAGGCCAGTTCTGGGCATGGGCTTCCTGTCATTCTACCTGTGGGCCAGGCCAGGAGCTGGTCACAGCTGAGGTCTCAGTGGAGTAGTGGAGAGACACTGCAGAGTGGGTGGGGTTTTAGAGGGCAACCCCTTCACTGCCAAACCCTCCTCAGCCCGCTGCTCTGCTGCTTCCAGACCTTGGCACCATTGAACCCCCTTTCCTCCAAGTCCCAGGTTTTTTCAAGCAATACAGAGCCTCCTTTTCTTAGTTCCCCTTTGCACACCTGAGTGAGTTCAGGGGTCCATATACTGGCAGGATAGGAGCAGAGGAAACCTACTCAGCCTGAAGATTTGAATGCATTCCTCCTGTGCTGTCACTAGGTGGCGCCCTCGAGGTGTCAGTTCCTCACAGTGTTTCTGACCCTTCCCACCATTCACAGGTCCAGTTACAGCCGCAAGGCTGTGGTCACGTGCTGTGTATCCCACAGGCCTGACCAGCTCTGTGTTCCCACTGAGGCAGCTCCTGGACACCTCCAGACTGTGTCCCAGGGCGTTTTGGTCCAGTTGGACAAGGCTGTCAGGGACTGCCTGAAGCCTTAGTTTCCCATCGGCTGGTACTACCCCACAGGTCTTCCTGAAGGCTGGGGCTGTCTGTTCCCTGGCCTCTTGCCTAGCACAGGGCCTGGCGCAGAAGACAGGGCAGAGGTTTTTGGCGGCGAACAATGTGTAAATAGAAGAGAGCGTTGCTACCGTTGTTTGCACCACCTTAGTTTGTCTAATGCATGCACTTTTTAATACCCAGCTATCCTTGCAGGAAGCCAGGGAGGAGGTCGAAAGCATAAGTGTGCCATGAGGAGGGGTCAGTTCGGGGACAGGAGCAGCCTTTCCCCTCTTCACCTGGTTCTGGTGGGTTCCAGCCTTCTCAGAGCACTGAGTAGTCACAGGGAGGGCCAGAGACTGCTACTTGTTTCCAGAGAGTTTCAGGCTTATCTGATCCTTTTCTGAAACCAGGAGCAAATGGGGACCAGAGATGAGAGAGATGGGCTCCATGGCCTATTATGGCTCCCTTCTCACCTGACCCCAGCTCAGGCTCCCAGTCTAACTGGGAACCATGTTAGCTGTCTGTGGGTCCCAGACATGGCTTGGAGAGCCACACCTGGGGTTGGAGCGGGGACAGCCACCCTTCTGCCGAAGCAACTCTTGCTGACAGCTAGGGCCAGCGTGAACAAGGCCCAAGGGGGGAAGGGCAGTGGTAGTGAGGTCTGAGGTTGGACTCTGCTGACACTATAGATGGCCAGTGGGGTCCTTCCCCTAGGCAGGTCCTAGGAAGAGTGAGTAGTTCTGCCCACTGTCCCGTTGCATCGGCAGAACCCAGGCCAGCTTGGGCTCTTGAGAGTGACCCCTGGAAGGTGTCCTTTGCTGAATCTCCCCCTGCCCCTGTGAGCTTGTACTGACACGCAGGTGCCATTTCCCTGCCTAGAACAAGCTCCCGGAGTAAGACTGGCATAGCTTACCGGGGTAATTACTGGTTTGGGTTCGATTTCCATTTAAAACAGTAATCCTAGGCTGAGCTGGGTGTCAAATCTGAAGGTTGATTATTAGTAACATTTATCAGCAGCCTCTCAGCTTCAGGCAATTACAGCTGATCTGCCATTCCTGCTCCCAGGTTGAACAAAACTGCCAGCCTCTTCCCTATCCACCCTCTTCATTCCCCTCCCCTTTCCTTCCCTTCCCTCCCCTCCCCTCCCCCTAGCAGCCAGCCGAGGAAGGGCAGGAGATGGGAGCCACCTCATGAGTCACTGTCACCCTGTGTATAGGGGCCCATGTGCTTGCTAAGCACTTGTGCTTCCCAACAGCAGTCTTCATGTTGCAGTCACGTGAACTCTCAATCTGTTTCTCTCGGAGCCAAGAGGAATCCTTGCAGCTGACAGATAAGAACTGGTGTCCTGGCTCCTTGTCATATGACATGTTTTCAACTGCATGGGGGTGTCTCCTGACTGCCTTCCAGTGCCCAGAGCAGGGAGAGGCAAGAGAAGAATTTACCTCCAGTGCAAAACTTAAGGGACTACCAAAAGCTCAGTAATCAACAAAAATAACATACCAATGCAATCTTTTTTAAAAATCAAAAAGAATGCAAAAACATCTATAACAAAACCAAAACATTAATGAAGACACCATGTAGCCCTAGACTTGCAGGATTTGGCCTCACTCTAATTCCAACCTCATTGGATCCTGTCTTTGCTTAAAATTTTGGTCTTGTTTATCATGGACATTTTGGCATTCGTTTTGTTTTGTTTTGTTTTTTGGTACCGGGGATCAAACTCGGGTCCTTGCGCTTGTGAAACAAGCGGTGGAACCACTGAGCTAAATCCCCGGCCTTTGGCATTCACTTTGATCCAAGCATTATATCTCTCATGCTCACAGCTCTGGCCCCACTGCTGTCACTTCCCAATGGGCCCTCAGCCCTGGCACCTTTACCATTCCTGTCTACAACTGCCTTGGGCAAGGTGGCTCAGCTTCTTTTCTGAGTGGGGACCCAGTGTGGCAGGGGACCCAGGGACCCATCCATGGCTGTCCTGGGGTGTCCATCCCCTCACTCCATCTCTCAGGACCCTGCTTCTGCCTTCAGGCACCTCAAAGAGAGCCGCTGGTAGGTTCCCATGGCAACTGTGGTGGTAACTGGAGAACAGAACTTGCTGGTCTTACTCCACTGTTATAATCACATCCAGCCAGGGCAGTGCAGGCACACTGGACCATGCCCCCAGCACACTAGTTGGAAAGGGAGCATTGATGGATGTGTACGGAGGTGGGGAAAATTACATTTGCCTCAATTCCTCCCAGGGAAAGGACAGCATGTGGCTGAGGAAGACAGTGCTGATCTGGTTGTGACAGGGAAGTAAAATTCTGAAGTAGACCTGGATGCCTGCTGACCAGCCTTCTGCAAAGGGTAGGTCTCCTTCAGGGCAGGACTCCTGTGGTGCTGAGCGGGTCTGTGAGCAAAGCACCCTGACTCCCGGAAGCACCCTCCCCCACTCCCCATGACTGCGCTCCCTCTGTTTAAAGAATAAACAACATTTCAGAAAAGTTAGTGTAAAGGGTGCCAAGATGCCAGATCATGTCCAGGACTTGAGGCATTGTCGTGTGTTAAGAAGTCTCTCATGCTGGGGGCCAAGGGTTTCAAGTGACAAACATCAGAAGCATCTCTGTCCTGCCTGTTTTACACCATGACCTCCCTTCTGAACTTCCACTGCACTACAGAGCCAGCTGGTCGCCCTGCCTGGCAGTAGTAGGTCATCCTGTCCCTCTAAGGATAAGAATTGGTCACTGCCCTTGCTGAGCATCAGCTTCATCTTCTATGAAACAGTGATACTAGTGCCCTCTGTAAAGGAGTTTGTGCCCCATTAAAGGAGCAGATGCAAAGTGCTGTGACAGCCTGAGCAGTCCTGTTCTATGGGGCCTTGAAGGACAGAACCAGAACCAAAGGGAGGTGGGTTTGGGCTTGAAGTGAAGAATTTGCCAGCTGCAGAGGTGGAGGGACCACTCTGAAAGACCAAGCACCCTGATGTGGGAAGTAGGCAGGAGGAGATTTCAAAACCACCTGCCCGGCTTGGCTTCACCAGAGCTTTGGGTCCCAGGAAAGTGTCGCCCTGAGGGATGCAGCTGGCCCAACCCTGAGGGTGTCGGTGATTCTCTTTGACCGTCCTTCCCTGATCTTCCTCCAGGCTGTCATGGGCAGAAACCTCAGAGCAGCCTCAAGGTGAGGATGGTCCTTCTTGGAAGAAGCTGGCTTCACCCACAGTTGATAAATTCCCCCTTTGTTTCTGGTTTACTTCTGGTTTAACCCTGTGAACCAACCCGTAAACCTGAGAGCTTGGCCAGGAAGGGACCAGCGAGGAGCCAAAGAAGAGCTGGCCCGAGCATCCATTTGAGAGGCCTAATGACTCTGATGGAGGGTTCCTCCTTGCAGCAGGACGGATGTCTGAGAGAGCAGGAGTGATGGAGGGGTGAGCTCCCCCACTCCAGGTGCAAGCACTCATACAGCCCCCACCCGGAAGCTGTTCATATATGTGCAGTCACCGGAGACCTGTGGCCGGACTGGTTCTGACCCTTCCATCCTTTGAGGCTGCAATATTGTGGGGTATGGAGAGGTGCTGTTTCAGCTGATATCCTGTGATTCTTCTCTATTCTGGAGATCGTGAGAGTTGACAGAAAGGGCTCACTTTGACGCTCTCCTCCCCCAGCTGTTCGTCTCTCTATGAAACGTCATCTGTCTTCTTGACCAACTAGGGGCCTAGGTCTCCAGGGTCCAATCAGGATGGGGCCAACAAGACCCAGTTTTTTACCTGAATATCACTTGTCCCTTCAAAATTTGAAGTTGGATCCCAAGGTTTTTAATTAATCATTGCTTCAAGTTCTCATGGAAATTTTGGACGTAATATTTAGAAGAGCTTGGCAGAGGATGGCCAAGGAGGGGAAGAAGTGGGGCTGGAGGCGGGGAAGGGAGAGACAAGAAGGTGTCACATTCAGGGATTAGGCTGGAGAGGCTGGCAAGAGCCTCAGGAGAGGTAAGCAGCTTAGAGTCTGTGCTGAGGCAGTGGGACGCCTCTGAAGGGCTTAAGCAGGTCAAGGGAGGGTATCACCAGATTTGCATCTAGAAAGCGCACTGTGGTGCCAGTGGAGGATGAATTTGAGAGGAGCAAGCTGGTGGCAGGCCCCAGACAGGGAGGCCCTAACCCAGAGTAGTTTGGGGGAAGAGAGGGTAGAGTTGAGAAATACTCATTAGAGAACATCGGAAATGTTCCAGAGTTGTCTGAATTGGCAGAAGCAAGTGGGCAGGGCAAAGCAAGCAGCTATGATGGCCCCTCAGAGGGCTGACTCATGTCAGTGCTGAAGACAGGGGTGTAGAATGAATGGTCAGCCTCGCAGGAAGTCCGTACCTGCATGGCCCAGTGAGAGGTGCCACGTGGTATCCCGGGTACTGTATCCAGAAAGCAAGGAGACAGAAGGTTTAGAGTGAAGGGGAGGGTTGACACCGTGAAGCTTTGGGCATTCTCCATACAAAAGCTGGAGGAAGTGAAGCCCCGGGAGGGGTTGAGATCACCCAGGTAACACTTCAGATGGAGCAAGAAGACAAGAGGCTGAGGACAGAGAAGCAAACTTTCACTCCCCCATAGGCCTCCACAAGGCACAGTGTTGGGCACTGCAAGACAGCAAGACAGCAGTCACAGTGTCCTCTGACTGTGGTTTCTCCAGATGGGCCCTTTATCCTCGATGCACTTGACTCTGCCTGGGTTACCATAGTAACATACAGAAGCAGGGACAGATGGTCTCTGTGTTGCCATGGAAACCAGCAATTGGGAGTCCCTGTGTGGCATGGCAACTGAGACCTTGAGGATTTGGTCTGGTCCTAAAGGATTTGGGAGGGAGATGAGACCAGCAGGTTTGCCATGTCCCAGTTAATCGGTGATAGCAATTGTTAGAATGACTGTTGCTACGGTGATGAAGGGAGACACCCAAGTGGGCTTGTGCTGGCTTCCATCCTGAGCTGAATACAAGGAATTTCACCAGGCTCCAGGTCTTTGTGAGCAGCCTGAAGCAAGACCATCCCCCAAACTCACTCCATCCTCTGGGCACCATGGGGCCAGGACACCTTTGCCTTCTTTCTGGGTTTGCACTCTTTTGCCGAGACAGGGATTTTGTTCCCAGGAGGCACTCCCTGGCCCATGGGATCTCAGCATTCAAAGCAGCACAGGAAAGCTGGGCCCCTGAAACGAGGCCACCGAAGAGATCGGTAAGCACTCAACACCCCTGCTTTAGCCCATGGACCCCACCCCTGTGTCGCCTCCATCCATCACCCTCATTGGCCTCACCCTGTCCTGTTCCACAGCCTCCCCTTCTTCCTACTGCTGCTCCCCTCTCACCACATGGGGTCCCCCAGCCTCCCCCTCAAGCCCCTTGGGTTCTAGATAGGTAATGGGGAGGCCTTATTACCTGATCTGCCCAGACCTCAGGGTGATCTTCCACTACACTCCTGCCCTCCGCCTCTTCTAGTGGCTCCTCCTTCGAGCCTCTGCCTGCCCCTACCACGCCTATGATCCATTCCCCCAGCCCAGCCACTGCTGCCCTTCTTCTGTCCTGCACCTGCATGCTGTACAGCCCCCCCCGCCCCCACAGTGTGGGCACCCTGGGAAAGTCCCTTTGCCCTGCTCCATAGCTTAGCTTACCTCCTCAGATGGCTAAGACAAAGGCACTGAAGTCCCTGAGTGACCGAGGCCTGGCTGGGCAACAGGTGGGGATGAGATGAGGCAGCAAGGGTGTGGAGAGTCACGGCTTTTTTTCCTCCTAGGAGCTCAAGCAGGAGGAAGTACTGGAAGGAAGGAAGGGAGATCGCTGGGTGAGCTGGCGGGAGAGGAGGGAGTGCTGCCCTGGGGAAGGCCACCCACAGGAGACCACAGGGAGGGGTGGGGTGCGGGTAGCTTGGTAGCTGTGGACCTCATCATTTGTGTTGGTGCATGTGTGTGTGTGCATGTGTGCCTGTGTGCGCGCACGCGTGTGCGTGTGTGTGTGTGTGTGTGTGAGAGAGAGAGAGAGAGCGACATGGGGACATGGGTTAGGGGAGGGTGTGTCTGCACTTACAGTGGCTTCGGTGGGCTTGGTTTGTTGCTCAGATACTCCTGTGGTCCTTTTGACCTGATTCTCACCAGATGGTGCTGACAGGAGACCCAAAGGGCTGGGCTCTTTGCATCCCTATGCTAGGATTCAGCCAGTCCTTCCCAGGCGGGAGGTATCCTTCACATATATCCCAGATCCACTGAGGGGTGCTAGAGCCTCCTGCCCCACTGTCCACCTACCTAGAGCTGCCTATGCCGTGACCCAGGCTGGCACCCCCAGGCCTGTCTTCTGCAGTCAGGAGATGAGCCTTACCTAGCGCTCCTGACCAGGCCCTCATTTGTGGTCCCTAGGAAGTATTTCTTAGCCCAAGAGGATGATAAGAAATAGCTACCCTGTGAAGGAGGCTGCTCAGCCCTGAGTACAGAGGAGGAAAGATGATGAAATCCCCTCCCTAGCTGCAGAGTAGCTGCTGACGGTACCCAGCACCCAGGGAATCTGCCTGCTCTTCAAAAGGACCAGAGAAATGGGCCTTCTGGGATTCTGATTTGCCCCCTTATGGATATCGATCCTGGGACACTGATTTGTGATAATTGTTCCATAAAAAGAAAGCTTTGTGGAGAACTGTGGGTCTCAGGTATGGCCCCAGAGCAGAGGCCTCCCAAGCTGCTCCTTTTTCTCACACAGTCTCAGACCAAGTTGACTTTTTAGCCTAAAGCAAGTCCCAGGAAGAGAGTGGGGTGGTGGAGTATATGGTTTGAACCTGGTTCCCAGGCTTACCCACAGGGGAGAGGGAGGAGCCCTAGGAGATAGCCCAGAGGGATGCCTCTACTGTGGTGACCAGTGAGGCCTGAAGACTTCAGGTCTGTTGCTGGTGTGTTTTGAATGATAGGAGCTGATGAGTCTTTTTCCTGCACCTACCACCCCATTGGCTGTCCAGGCTACAAATGTCTTTGAGATCCCACAACCAGCCTCTTCTTTAACCAGCACAACCAAGGCTTCAGGGCAAGGTCACACTGCAAGTTCATGGAGAGTCAGAACTAGAACCCTAGAACCCAGGCAATCTGCTCAGTGTTCTTTCCACACACTGAAGATGAGGAAGCCTATCTGGAGGTTTCCAGAGGGGAGCAAAGGGACTTACTGGGAGTGATGGTCCTTTGGCTATGACCTTGCCTTATGTAAATGGAGGCCCTGAGCATAGTATGGACTATATATCTACAGCTGATGGCTGGCTGGCAGGGATTCCTAGCCAAACTGGGTTTCTGGGATTTGGTACCTCTCTGTACCGGGAGCCCCCAGCACCACACTGGCTCTTCTATGTTGAAAGGCTCTTCCAGTGTCCCTCGGTGCCAGGGAAAATTGCATAATTCAAGAGGGTGGCAACAAGCATGAGATTTCACCTGTGGTGACCAGTCCCGTACAGGCACATAGGGGAAGTAAGGAACCAGGGAGACTCAGGGTTGAGGGCTGAATCATAGGGTCAAATCTCCGCGGGTTGGGAACAGTTATACTTAATGGCAAAGTCACAAGGTCCAGCCACTTGGGGATTCAGGAGAGCAAGAGAACCCTGGCTCTTGGGTCATGGTGTTTCCTCCTAGGTTTTACCATCATACTGGGAGCTTAGGTGTCCATGAGGATAGTGCCTCACACCCCAATCTCTGAGTTTCTTTTTGTCTTCAGTTTGTTGAATGTCACCTCTATGTCACCTACCCCTTACTGGCATCTTGTCATCATTTGAAACTGTTCCACTTCTGAAATCTTAATCTCTTTGTCTCTCGTTATGGGTTTTATCTCCCTCACTGACAGTGTCTGGTCATGGAGACTTTTAGGCTCTGAACTCCTAGTTTTTCTCCTTCTTCTGACTCAGCTCGTGTTCCTTCCCTGCCTGGACCCTGCAGTGTGTCACTGCAGCTGCTTACCTTTTGCCACCTGGCCCACCCCAAACTTAGGACTTGTTAACTGCCTGCCCTCTCTAAAGGAGAATGCGGATCCCCTAGTGAACTGACACCAGCCGTATTGATATCCACAGCCTCACCCGAGTCCCTGCCTGCTGAGGCTACTCCAGTTCCCCCACAGTGATTTCAAAGCTCTCCCTTAGAACCCTCTGCTTCCCTACACCACAGCTCCCATGTGTATTCTCAGCAAGTCAGCCTTGACTCTGACTCTGCAGAGAAAAGAGAACTCGTCAGGAAAAATTTCTTTCATCTCTGCCCTGGGCTCCAAGCTTACCTGCATTCATGCCTCTGGCGCCCATCACCTGAGAGACAGGTGGCCCTGTTCCAGGTAGCCTCTTCCCCAGGGATCTGATAACCTTTCCTCCACCTCCAGGAGCCTCACTCTTTGCTTATCCTTTCTTCCTGTGGATCTTCAGTGCCCCTCCTCTACTGGCCCCTCAACTGTAACCTAGTTAAAAAAACAACCCAGAATCCTTCGACTTCACAATCTCCCCTCACTCTGTCATGCTCCAACAGCTAAGATCAAAGTCAGTGTCTGCCAGCTCCACTTCCTCACCTCCTGCTGAGTCCTCAGTCCTCTACAGCGGACTTCCGCTCCTGCTTCACCACCCACCCAGCTCATGCCAGGGACTCGTATTATAAATGCAGCAGAAGCCTTTCAGTTCCCGCTTTACCTCCCAGCAGCATTTGACAGAGGGAGCACATTGTGCTTTTCACTCTTCCTCAGCCTTCTGTGACCCACGCTCTCCTTGTTTGCTGTGTACTGTTCTGATGATTATTTCTGTCTTTTGCTTGAAAATGTCTCCTTGTGTCCTGGCCTCTTTTCTCCCTTACCCTGATTTCCAGTGATCTTGTTGGTGACCATGGCTTATAATTCCATCTCTGAGCTGAAGACTAGAGCTGCTCCCTAGCCCTTTCCCCTTAGTCTTTATTTTTCAGTTCAATCTGTTTTTCCTTCCTGTGTATTGAAGTTTCATTCTTAGGTCATGAATATTTAAGATTTAAGTTTGCAAAGAATTCTCCCTTTCATCAATATGAAATGTCCTTTTCTTTCTTTCTTTTTTTTTTGGTACCGGGGATCGAACTTGGGACCTTGCACTTTCAAGGCAGGTGTCCTTTTCTTTATCTTTTTTTGTAGTACTGAGCTTTGAACCCAGGGCCTTCTCACTGAGCTATAGCCACAGTCCTTTTAACATTTTTTATTTCAAGACTGAGTCTCACTTGTCACTACATTGCCCATGCTGGGCTGGACCTTGGGATCCTCCTGCCTCTGCCTCCCAGAGTAAAATGTCTTTCTTTAGTCTTGGTAATATTTTTTGAAGTCTACTTGGTCTGCTATTCATACAGTTGCTCTGGCTTTCTGTTGATTAGTGTTTGCATGGCATATCTCTTTCCATTCTTTTACTTTTAATCTCACTGGCTTTATATTTGAAGTGGTTTTCTTTTAGATAGCATATAATTGTATAATTTTATCTATGTTGATAAATTGGCTATTAATTGGAATGTTCAGACCAAGGTATTTACCCTTATTATCAAGGTGATGGGGTTTACATCTATTATATGCTATATGTATTCCATTTGTCCTCCCTGTTCTTTGTTCCTTTTTTCCTTTGCTTTCTTTAGGATTAGGTTTTCCTTTTTGTGTGTGTGGTGCTAGGAATTGAGCCTTGTGTTTACCAGCCAAGTGCCCTACCACTGATTTCTACCCCAGCCCTAGGATTAGTTGTTTTTTTATGATTCTATTTTATCTTTTATTTTTATTAGCTGTATCTTTTTATGTTTCTGTGTGTTTGTGTCTTTAGTGGTTGCTCTAAAGTTTATAATATATATCTTCAATTTACATAGCCTTTCATGTAATATCATTATGAATATCATAACACCCTTACAGCAATAATTCCATTCCCACTTGGAGCTTTTACTGTCATACGTTTTGCTTCTACCTATGACATAAACTCAGGAATACATTTTTATAATTTTAGATTTAAACAGTCATTTATCTTTTCAAAAAATAACACCTCTATTGAGGGGAAGTTCATATACCATACAGGTATCTATATACGGTATACAATTCTGTAGTTTGAAGTTATCTGACCATCATTGGAGTCAGTTTTTGAACATTTCCATTACTTCCCTTCCGTCTAAAAACCAATATACATTAGCATTTTCCCCTTTCTCCTACCAGTCCCCAGCCTTAGGGAACTGCTAATCTGCTTTCTGTCTTTGTAGATTTGCCTGTTCTGGACATTTCATATAAATGAAATCACATAATATGTATGTCTCGTGACTATTTCTTTCCTTAGTAAAATGTTTTCAAGATATATCCATATTGTAAAATGCATCCATACTTCATTTTTTTGTGTGGCTGAATGCATATTCTATTGTGTGGGTTACCACATTTTGTTTATCCATACATTAATTGCTGAACATTTGGGTATTTCTTTAGCTATTATAAATAATGCTGCTATGAATATTTGTGTTCAGGTTTTCATGTGGACATATGTTTTCATTTCTCTTGGGTATATGCCTAGGATCTGTGTTCAACCTTCTGAAGAATTGCCAGACTATTTTCCTAAGTGTCTGTAACGTTTTATATCCCAACAGTAGTGTATGAGGATTCCATTTTCCCTGTATTCCTTGCCTATTTTGTCATTACTTATATGTAGTTTGAATTATAGGTGCCGTAGTGAGAAGTGGTATTTCATGGTGGTTTTGATTTAAACTTCCCTTATAGCTAATGATGTACTTATAGACCATTTGTATATCTTCTTTATAATAATGTCTATTCCAATCCTTTGCCCATTTTTAATTGGGTTATTTGCCTTTTTACTCA